GTATTGATCCTGTTTCTGGATGGCAATGACACAACCTGGCTTCGCTTTAGAGGTGACTCCATCCAGACCCTCTTGTGTTATGCAGGTGATGTAGACGAGTCGCAGAGGATTCGACTGGTGTCAAGGAGCTATTTAAAATTAGAGCTTGGTGGCGCAATTGATTTTGTTTATATCTGATGTGATTAAACACAGTGGAGACCATTTGCTCTTGCTGGAATCACAATCATGGCTTAGATGCAATGCAGGTTAGAAAAATGTCCTCAAGATAATATATGCCATTTGGCGATTGCATTTAACCAAAGTGTCTTATCATGATTGAACACATTTTAATAATGAATGGTGCAGTGAGAACAACCGTGATAGTATTGGTTCCTCCATACATCATCAGTGCAAGCGGACAATAATTTAATAGCTTAAAAAAAATCTTAAAATGATGATAAAAGTAAAATTATATGTAATAAAAGTCTTTCATCTGACTCCTTACCTGATATAAGTATCAACTCCTCATCTTAATATAATTATAATACATGTACCCACAAACGCTTATAGTGCAAGTAGTGACATTAGATAAGTCAACATATTCTAATGTAAGAGCTGTAAAATAAGCAAATAAACATGATTTCACACAGCATTTTTGGACATATTCTGCCACTTATCAGTGAATCAAATCATACCACAACTATAATAAATAATTGTTTGTGAATTTCCTGCATGGATATTGCACACGATGAAGCAGCGCCACAGCAAAAATAGGTCTACTCGCAATGCTAGAGATCCCAGCATACATTTCTCCCCCTTCATTGTGTGAGTCCAGCTCTCTCAATCAAGATATCTGAGTCCTGCTACGAGTCCCTGATTAACACCGCTGCTCGTGTAGTTTTGTTTTAACTGTCCTCAGTTAAATGAGAAATTAAGAGGCAAGAGATAGAGGCTAATAGCATTTATTAACCCAGCGTGAACGGGCAGCGGGGCGGCCGTGGTCCTCCACCAGCCCTGTCTAGTCCTGGTGGCTCAGCCAGTGAGGCCCAGAGAGGGGAGTGGAACATAATAAAAACCAACAAATGCACCCAGCTGATTAATGCAGCCCTGTGGCTATAGTAATTATCCCTCTCCACACTCCTCCAGCAGACGAGCCAAACAAGTGTGTGGCAGCGACAGGGAAATGTGCAAATGATGGATCTGTGGGATTCAGGGTCTGTTTAGTGCTGCGTGTTAGTAGTTGGATGAAGACACATTCGTGATGATTTGGTTCACTCTGGAGGTGGAGCTGAAGCTTTTACACTTACATTTTAAAAGTATATAGTATTTTGGCCTGGTTTGCATTATCGCTGTACAATATTGGTGCTTTCATGGTGTGAATATGTTTTGTATCTTCAAATATGTATTTGATTTTATTTACGAATCAGCATCAAAGTTGAAGTGTGAACACATGTTTCCAGCGTCGTCCCAAAAGGCATACATAAAACATAAAACAAGCAGTAGAATCTTAAAACCAAAACATAAGTGCAAAGTTAACCAAAAACAGAGGTAGACCTAAACATATTAATAACTCAAGTAGAATTCAATTTATAATCTGTCACCTTGACCTCTAAAAGTCCCTCTTATTATTATCAGCTTTATATAAAACAGTTCTGTATTGCTATAGCTGTTTTATAATGTAATTACTTAACAAAAGTGCAGCACAGAAACATGTTTAGAATCTTCTTCTTTCTTTGATTTAATTTGATGGTGGATGGTTCAGTGTTTACACTCCCGTGGAGGTGGAGTTCTGCACCGCATGTTGCTCTACTTTCCTCAGTATGAATATATTGTTAGTGAAATAGTAGCTATTAACATGACTATCCTAAGCTAATGATAATATTTCTGTCATATAGCCTTCACAAGATAATAACATAAGATAAGCACAAATTCAAAGCTTTTTTTCTGATTTGAATGGAAACAGTTTGTTTAGTCATAATTTGCAACATTCTAATAAAAACTGAAACCTAAATCTATAACCAACTAATAATTTTAAGCAAAAACCATCACTGACTAAATATATTAAAGAAATAGTTTTTTGTTCATTTCTTCTGTCATATAGCTTACATATAGTATTAACTATCTGATAACTCACTAAAAATCAGTAATGTGATCAAAGCAGCGTAAGGTCATGTGATGAGCTCATTAAAACAGCTATTTGAGTGGAGTTGATGTAAAATATGAGTTAAATAAAACTTTACAGCCATCAGTTCCTTTGCAAAACATACAGCCCCATTAATAATTCACACTAGTAATTCATTCAGTTAATTGTATTGTATTACAGCTGCCACAATATCCGATTTTCACAACAGGATGTATGTGGCCAAAATAATTCACAATAATTTGGATATCTATAGAAATTTTCATCTTTAACTTTTATTGTGTGTTTTGTCTCTTTTGTCATATTAATTACACTGAAAACACGAATGGAGGAAGGTGGAAAGAGTCTGTAACCGTAACTGTGCAAAAGAGTAAAAAAAGAACAATTACACTGAGTGTGAACCAGAAAGCAAGAACTGAAAAAGAGTAAAAAAAGAACAATTACACTGAGTGTGAACCAGAAAGCAAGAACTGAAAGAAACAGAAATAATTTTCAGAGAGAATATTATCATAGGTGTATTTTTAATATCACTGTTATTGTCAATATCAAAATTTTGTGACGCTCCTATTTTGTACATTCTGAATTGTTTCTGCATCATTGTATTTAACAATCTGTTTTTTGTTGTCAAGAAGTTCACATGCAGCAGTTCCAGCCACAAAGTTAGGAAGGAGCTTCCTGCTGAGCCACCGGGCTGCACGTGGTACAGTGTGTTTGGAGAGGTCAGAAGGTTAGACATAAAAGACCAGTGTGCTCATGAATCAGGAATTTAATTACATACAGCCAGTGTGACAGGGAGATTGTGTCCCTCAACTCAACACAATATGTAATTACTATTTATTGACGGATAACGATTGGTTCTTTTTCACTTTTCAGAAACAAGCTGCTGCTTGCACAGACAGTTAAATCTCTGCGTTTCGGATCTGCTTTTAGACTTTTAGACACATTTCGGTCGATAACAATTCACATTTTATGTGCACACATTTTTCAGTTGTGCTTACTGTTTTAGCCTAAATTTCTCTCCAAAAATAAACCCAATTCCCTTTTCTATCCATCTGTTCTCTATTAAATTAAGACCATATTCCAGCATTCAGAGGCACAAGCGATGGGGAATACATCACTGAGAATGAAAAACAGCAAATGAGAGAAAAACTATTATGAAAACTTAAACTGCTGCCTCAAAATGCACAGAATTTAGATCCCAGACTCGCTGTGATCTACTTAAAGGGACACACTCTTGGTCGTAGAGCTGAACACTGTTTTGCTTAAATACAGACTTAATGATTGGATTACTGTTTCTTCGCTTGGCGATAGCGTGATCGTGGGATTACAGACTTGTGCGCTCAATAGATTTCCTGTCAGATGCTATGAAGCCAGGTGTCCCCTCACTGTGTAAGCTGGCTGGCTGAGAGGGAGGGAGGCAGATGAGCCTTGGACTTACAATATGGCCCACCACAGAAAAGTGGCAACACAGACACAAGAGTGGAACTGCAAAATAAAATTGAATTATTTAAAAATTTTAATAAATTAAAATAAAACAACCCTGATAGATGAGAATGTTAATTCTGATGATGTTTCTCCAGTTAAAATGGGTTTAATTAACCAAATTAGCAGCTTTACCTTCATAAAATGTCCTGTGGAGATTTTTTTTTACATGCATTCTCATACTTTGCATAACTTAATTCTTTAAAAACATCAAAGATAACGTTTCCACATTTATTTTTTATTGAATGAACTCCAGTATTCATCCCTAATGTGAAACCCTACATGTCATGTGAACATTAGTCTTTCCTCTTTTCTCTGTGCCTCATTAAAAACATAAACATATCTCCTCTATTGATTATGTCTGGATGTCTTAATCAGATCAGTGGGAATATCCTGGTTTTCCTCTGCAGGAAAGTACATTAAATGCCAAAATATTGATCAGAAATTTAATTGAGAATGCACAGCTCCTTTATTAGAGCAATCGCCCTTTGCTCCTGTGACTTTGATATGGACTGACATGAAAAGAAAACGTTCAAATTTATAATTCCTTTTTATTTAAAAAGTCTGTTGGGAACCAGAGTCTGTCCCGAGGCTTCTGGCGACACAGCAGCGCTGTGATCAATAAGAGCGTGTGATGGGTTTCGCATCGATCAGGAAAATGTGGGTTGATGAAGTGGGTTGGAGGGGGCGGTTGGGGGGGTGGGGGGGGGCTTTGGGTTTCCTCTGATGGCTGCCACATTACACAGACGTGGTAAAGATCCACTCAAACTTGTCTGTCGTCATCATCATTATTATCATTCCTGCCGAGGTCATTAACGCTCTCAGTTTCTTACATCCTGCCTCTTTCGGGATTGGCAGATCCCCTCTCTTCCCAGTGTGATTGGTGAAACGCTGTGGGAAGCAGCTGCCATTACTTAAGAGGAGGGCAGGCTGTGGAAAGCCAGGAGGAGAGGATAAAAGAGAAAAGGGAACAGTTTAGCTTAGTAAGCTGGCACTGAGCCTTTTAAAGCAACCATAAACAGACCTGTTTAAATCACCTTCAGTGAACTTGCTGCTACTTCTGTTGCTTGTCAATTACTACTGTTCACTTCAGTTTGCTTCCTGAGCTTGTAAACACCTGAGAAACTCCTCAGCCAGCCATCCATCCATCTGTCTATCTGTCTGTCTTTCTGGGGGGTCTGCCTGTGTTTTGCAGCGCTCCCTTGTGAATGACTGGACACAGACTGCTCGCCCATTAGCCCGTCCCATCTCAGTAATCTTTCATCCCCATTGGCTGCTCTCAGGACAGCCTTCCCGAAAGCGACCAATGGCAGCTGCTCCACACGCAGCAAACCACTCCCCCCTGCTCTTAAAGAGCCCCCATGTCTTCAATGGAGACTCAATCCCCTGACTGACTTACTCAGCCTGAGTGCGCTCTCACCACTGCTGCTCTCCATCCATCTGTCTCTAGCTTTTATTCTCTCTTTCTCAATCCGTCACTCCTCTGATCTTTATTCTTCCGCCTCTTCTCTTCACTTTCTTCCTGTTTCTTCTCTTCATCTCTACCTCAGGGTCTTCCTCCTCTCTCCTCTTTCTGTATCACATCCACTCTTCCTCTCTCCACACGCTCTCTTGAGCCTGAGTGTGCAGCACCTGTGCAGACTGGAGTTTGTCGGGGGCCGAGGCAGAAGGTTTTTTCAATTTTTTTTTGGTGTGTGTGTGTGTTGAACAGGGGAGGGAGGGGAGACAACACCCAGGAACACCTGACCAACATTTCATCAAGATATGTGGAGACTTAGGAACTGATCTCCTCGTCCTGCTTTTGCCCAGCTGTTTGTTTATCTGTTTTTTATTGCAACACCTGGAATGCTTAACGTGGACTGATGGATGTTTCCGAACTGTGCATCCCTGACCCTCTCTGCTACCACAACCAGTAGGTGCATCTTTTTCCACACCTTTTTCCCTTTCTTTGTTTATTTTTGTTCCTATTTGAGTGATATAATTAAATTTACTTCTTTGCCTCTAATTTTACCCCACAAAAATTGCAAAAATCAGTGTTTAAATCACATGTGAAAAAAAATATGACGCATGAAGTAAACTATTTAAAAAACCAGGGAGTTCCTCGCATTGTCTCAGCTCCACCTCCTCGTGTACGGGACAGCGGAGCTCAATATTGTCAGTGAGGCTGCAGTAGCAGAGCCCGCAGGGAGTCCAGGTCGGACGGTTGCCCTACAGCTGTCTAGCTCTGCATCAGGATCCAGGGTTTAACCTCAGCCACAGGGAAGAGCCGGAGGCAGATTAATGCGGACAATATCCAGACGAATATCCTCTGGCAGCAGCCAGTGTCCGGCGGTGTCCCAGGGAAAGAAAACTGTGACTATTCTGTCGCCCAGTCCGTGTGAGAGTGTGTGTTCTTGAGAGACAGATATATTTGAGGGGGGTGGATAACTGCCTGCCTGTGTTTGGTTCAAGCTTTGATCACTTTTATGTGGTTTGTGATTTTTATAAATTTAGATAAATCACCAGATCATCTCCACTGTGGTGATATGTTTACAGAAAATGCAGCTCATTCTATTTAAATAAGATTTCCCGCCTACATATGCATGTTGTCATTGTGCATTTAGTTTATAAGTGCGAGGATCACGTAGCCTGTTTTACAGTAATGAGAAGTCAAAGAAACTCAAATCTCAAATGAAGTACCAGTCATTCTTTACTACACTTCTTGCATGGAAAGATGCTGTTCTTTTGACCAAGTTTGACTGGACGGGGAGATCCTTTACTGGGATCCTCTTAATGTTAAGCTGTAGATAGGATTGGAAAGGTTTAACCTGCTTAGCACCATTTACAGGTCTGTGATTAGGAAGATTTCAAAGTCTAGAACACTCTCTACGAATTAAAAAGAAGAATCTTCTGTAATATTAAACAAGTGTAATCTGTTTTAGTACAGTCTATAACTGCCTATAACAACTCAGAGCTGCACTCCAGAAAGATTCAAGAGGAACAAACTGCTAAAAGTAAAATAAAATCAGTCTGTATTTGTTTAGGAAGAGAAAAGAAACAGTTTTTTGCATTCAGAAGTAGCTGCTTTTATTAGAAGGGATTAGTAACAATTATTTAAAAATAGCTGAAGATGTTATACACTTTGCATGTATCTCATGCTACATTTAAAAAGTACCGTTGGTCAATTTTTTAATTCATTTTAGATTTGTACTAGGATACAAAATTTAACCAAAATAATAAATAGACAACACTGACAATTCAAGTGGAATGTGCAGTACACATAATGTTATGGTGAATATACATTTAATTAAATACTACAATCTAATTAATCTCACTAATTGCTAAGTGACTCAATATAAATGGTTTCAGGAGTGTCATGTTTAACCACAAATGTTTAGAGAATTTGTCAGTTGTTTTGATATCTCACGGAAAGGTAAAAGATCTGGGTTTCATTTCTTTTTAAATTAACTATATGCGTTTCATGTATTGTCTCTTAAGGCTTTGACATTCAATATTGTAATTCATGTGCAGATTGCAGTGTTGCTGAAAAACCCACCACAACCCTCAGCTCTTCTTTTTCGCACGATCATCAGTTTCCACAATCTGTAAAACTGCATTTAGTACACATCCAGTAAATTAAAACTGTGGGTTAAAGTTATCATATTTTTTATTACATGTTAAAAAACATTTTAAGCTGAATTTAAATTATAAAAAAGACAAAGGCGACAGTACGATGCTATTAACCTACAGTGACCCTGAGCCAGCTTTTAGTGTGTACATTGTGTGTGTGTGTGTGTGTGTGTGTGTGTGTGTGTGTGTGTGTGTGTGTGTGTGTGTGTGTGCTGCTGTGTTTGTGGGATCATAGGTTTGTGTACATCTGTATACCCCGCATATTTGGACACACACAAAAATATGCACGTGTGTTTTGGCGAGTCAGTAGCTAGTTACATACGTGTGTGTACATTCACACACGTATATATGTGAATGTATTCATGCATACAGTTTAAATGTGTAAAGGTTTTTCTCACATTGCCTCCTCCGTTAACTACAGGACCACGGGGTCAGATTTGATAGGACGGCACTTTTTTATGACACATTGGCATCACCCAGAAACCCCACAAAGTCAAAAATTCAGCACTCAACATATTTATACTGGTTATAGTTGAGTTCTTCCTGGAATTAATGCTGCATTTCCTGAGGGAGTTCAACTTGCTATGTTGATTATACATTATTTAAGAAGTGCAAACCATGATAAATAAAACAGCGTGTCAACATTAGTGTAAACTATAGGAAACTTACACACTCTTTTTTCAGCAAAAGAGCATTGTGACAGAAGCTACAATGTGTAATATACAGTAAATTATGCAAAAAAAAGTGTCTCAACCTAAATATTAAAAGCATATTGTCATACAATTTATCTCCTGGAAGTAATTGTAGTTGCTCATGTACTAGCATACTGTAAATCTGTGGTTTTATAGTCACATAAAGCTGTGCTTACTTAGATTTGTCTTCAGGGAATACTATTAATAATCCCTTGAAGACTTTTGGCCTTACAACCAACCTATTGGCCCGAGGTGAAAGGTCCCACGACTGTGGTGTCCAACTCTCACGCTACATCTGTGCTGAAGAGGCAAATATATTATTCTACCAACAGTCTAATACTAGCTTATCAGGCATTTCTAGAAATAATAAATAAACGTATATGCACATATATAGATAGTTTGTCATTTTTTTACCATTATCAAGGACAACATTAAGTGACTCATAGTTCAGATGTTTAATGTTACAGTGTTTGTAATTCATAAAAAAATTGAAACATTTAATTGTACTATTATATGTATTAGACGTTTCAGTGTTCTGAATATACGATTTAATCTTTATAAATCACAGTTTGGTGTTTTTCTGAAGCAAATTTTAATTAAATTTGTCATGGTTTGTAACCTAACTCCAAATAACCTGCAGCTGAAAGTTTGAATTAAAGGACAAAAACTGGACCAGAGTCCATTAAACTTTCTCTACACTTTTTGTCATTTGACATCATTTGAAAAATGAGGGGAGAGAAAAGTTCCCTCTGCTAGCTGCTTATAAATTATTATTTAAAATGTGTTCATGGTGGACACTTCTTTTCTTAGACACAGTATATCATTTAATATCTTCATTAGTAAACTGACACATGATTTTCAAATTCTTTATTCAAGTAATTGTTGATTTTAAAAATGTTCAACCATATTATGTCTCTATGATTAGCCGTGGTTTCAGTATGATTAGACATGGCAGTTCTGACAACTGCATCATTTACACTTAAAGTTGCTGTTTATGTTCAGTTTATTCTAATACATCAGATCCATTTATCTCTTGTTCCACCTGCTGTTCATTGGTGCCCTTCATATAGGCAAACCAACATGAATGCATAAGCACAGGCGGTCAAATGTATGCACACACACAAACACACACACACACACACACACACACACACGTGCGCGCACATACGAACGAGACCAAAGAATCACACACTGACCTGAGGTCTAATTTTAGCGGTGCCATATCATGGAAACACCTGACTGTGTCTGTTAGGAGAAGCACATCCTCTTATTATGCGTTGCATCTGCATATATTACACTAGTGTCACAACCCGGCTCTTATGCACTCGGTCATATTCTGTTTATAATGCATCTGAGATCAGTCAGTGTCATTAATATCTAATATTTAAATAAATAGATAAAATCTCCATGGTCCAACCATTTGTCTTGCAAAAGTGTGACAACATAATTACACTTTTGAGTGTAGAAGAAAGAAATCTCTGATGTTTGATAAATGATAAATATTTTATTTTATTTTATTTTTTCTTGACAAATAAGTGTCTCATCAAACATCATATCAAGAGACAATATTTTAAAATATGCAGTCCGAAAAATAGAAGGAAGAAAGAAAGAAATGGCCTGATGGTGGTAATTTCAGAGTGCATTTGGAAACAGATTTATTAGATATTTGATATGTTACCAATAAATTTGGGTCTTATCGGTACTTATACGACTACTATACGTTCTTCAAAGGCATTTTTGCTTTTTGTCAGAAATAGTAAATTGTTTATGTTTTGGTAACTTCAGTGGTGAATGTGTTATTACTTGTGAAGGCCAGAGTGTTACAATCTGCTTAATCACTGGAGTGAGTGGACAAAGTTGGCTGCTTCCAGCACACCTTCCTGCACCGCGTGGAAACAGCTATCACTGCATTTTAAGAGTCACGGTTGTTTTTTTGTGCCAAAATGGATGAAAATGATTAAAACATCACTCCGGGGTGCGTTCTATCTCATCTTTTAAGTCTGATAGTTGGCTGATGGAACCAGTAAAATCGTCTGGGAAGCCAACCGAACTTACTAGTCCACTGACGGATGGAGGGAGCAGGTGGTGGGACAGGGCTCTGTTGTGTTCACATTATGGGGGGGAAAAATGCAGCTTCCATCCAACTTTTCTTTTACCACCAGCTTCGAGTTTTCATGGTGAAGGTCACGAAAATGACCACGGATTTAAAATAAAAAAATTCAAAACACTCCTGTATTTCCTCATGACGCTGTTTTCCAAGCGTTCAGACTGACGTGTTTATTAATGGCCATGGCTGCTGCATAAGAGGGTACAGCCCAGCTCTATGGTAGAGTGGTGCTGTGTGACGGCACGAGGAGAAATAACTTCATTACATGTCATGACCCCCTCTTGATATAGATATATCCTTTAGGCAGCCTGTCAAGGACTCTGAATTCATCAGGATGTAGATGGACGCTTTTTTTGCAGCCGCTATTCAATCAAAACATGAGTGTGGCTTTCACGTGTACAGGTTGAATGCAAGCAGCAGAGAGGACTTCTTAGAATGAGTTTGTTTTATTGATCAAATGAAATTAACACAGAGAGAGAGAGAGAGAGAGAGAGAGAGAGAGAG